TGTAGTTTTAATCACTACAGAAAATACCCATAAACAAAAACTTCACCTTTATAAAAATGCAACAACCCCGTCCCCAGCCTTTATTGAAATTTCACTCCGTAATAATGAACCTTTAGTCCAACAGTCTTAGGTCAACCTATAACAGTTCACCGTAATCACGGCACAAAGTCTCTCAGGTGCTCCGGCGGTCTCTTGGTTCTTTGCGATCGCCGTAACCCAGTGGCAGGTGATTCAAGTGAATCACTACTCTCCATATGTGGCTTCACCACTGGTGTAACTTGCACCTCCATGTGTCTCTCATCCTCGTCTCCTGTCTCAGCGCTGATGTTTGGGGCTGCTTTTGGGGGCTCGCCTGGGTGGCCTTCAGGCATTCCTGCTGCCAGGCACAGCTCCAGGCGGGCAAACAGCTGATTGACGTGACGCCTCACCACTGTCCCATTGCCCAGCATCACCAAGAAGGAAACAGGCCCCGTCATCTCCTGTATAAGTCCTGGTATCCATTTGGGTCCTCTGCCATAGTTTTTGGTATATACTGTGTCTCCAATAACAAACATGCGCACCTTGGCATGTCTATCATGATACAGTCTTTGGCTATCTTGTTTTGCTGTCACTTTCTGTTTCAAGTCAGGGTGTATGAGATCAAGAGTACACCTCAACTTCCGGCCCATCATCAACTCAGCGGGAGACTTCCCTGTTGTGGACTGTGATGTGATTCTGTAACTAAACAGAGCCCTGTTTAACTTGGTTGTCAGTGTGTCTCCAGTACTCTTTTTCATGAGTTCTTTGAACGTTTGCACTGCTCTTTCTGCTAACCCATTGGATGCTGGGTGATATGGAGCGGAGGTGACGTGAGTGATTCCGTTCTTTGCCATGAACTCTTTAGTTTGTGCACTTACAAAACACTGGGCATTATCTGAGACCACCATCTCAGGAAGGCCGTGCGTGCTGAAACAGTTTCTCAGGCAGTCTATGGTTGCAGCTGCTGTAGCGGATGGAACTGGATACACATTTAACCATTTGGAGTGGGTGTCCACTATTACTAAGAACATTTTACCCAAAAATGGGCCTGCATAATCGATATGTATCCTTCTCCAGGGCTTTTCTGGCCACTCCCAGGGGTGTAGTGGTGCCTCTTCCGGCCTGTGTCTATGTTCTTGACATGTACTGCAGGACCTCACCTTGTCTTCAATGTCATTCTCCATATGCGGCCACCACATGTAGCTTCTGGCCAGGCCCTTCATGCGGCTCATTCCTGGGTGTGACTGATGTAGCTGTTCCAAAAGGGGGCGTCGACCTCGTTCTGGTATCACCACCCTCGCCCCCCACAGCACACACCCATCCTGCACACTCAGCTCCTGTTGTCTCTGTTTGTAGGGCAGAAAATTAGGATGCTGCGTAGTGGGCCATCCTCTCAAAGCATACTCACGCACTCTGGAGAGTATGGGATCTTTGGTTGTCCATCTTTGCAGCTGCTCAGATGTCATCACGCCCTCATGGTCCTGATCTACCATCAACACTTGGTCCTCAGCTGCCACCTCTTTAGGGAGGTTCTCTGGAAGAGGGAGACGACTCAGACCATCAGCATTACTGTTATTTTTGCCTTCTCTGTATTTAATGACATACTCATAGGCTCTTAATAACACCGCCCATTGCATGATCCTCTGTGACGCCATCTGAGGGACAGCCTTCAGCTCATGGATCAAACTTATCAATGGCTTATGATCTGTGATAATCATGAACTTCCTGCCGTACACGTACTTATGAAAATACTGTACACCAAATATTACAGCCAATCCTTCTTTATCCAGCTGTGAGTAGTTCTTTTCTGCTGCATTCAGGGTACGCGATGCAAACCCAGTGGGTTTTTCCTGACCATCTGGCATGCAGTGAGCTAGTACTGCTCCCACTCCATAGGGGGACGCATCGCAAGAAAGAATTAAATCCTTTTGCTCATCATAGTGTACCAATACACTGCTTGATTGCAACAGTTCCTTTGATTTGCAGAAAACCTTCTCCTGTGCTGGTCCCCAACACCATGGTTCCCCCTTTCTCAGAAGCTTGTGCAGTGGGGCCAACAGTGTGGACAAATTTGGCAAGAACTTATTATAGAAGTTCAACAACCCCAAATAAGCTTTGAGCTCTGTCACTGATTTTGGGGGTGGCGCCTCCTGCACTGCTTTCACTTTTGCTGGCACTGGATGTAAACCGGTCTTATCCACCCGATGTCCTAAAAATGTCACTTCCTTCTCCATGAATTGACATTTGCTCCTTTTTAAGCGCAGGCCCGCCTCCTCCAAGCGCTGCAGCACTCCATCCAGTGTTTGAAGATGTTCTTTGTCATTCTTTCCCATCAGGATGATGCCATCCAGATACACTGCGACATTGGTCAGACCTTGCAACACACTCTCCATGGTGCGCTGAAAAATGGCAGGACTTGAACTCACACCAAATGGCAACCTGGTGTATGTAAACAAACCCCTGTGTGTGTTCACTGTGACATACTTTCTAGATTCCTTATCAAGTAGAACCTGTTGATATGCGTGACTCATATCTAGCTTGGTGTATTTTTCTCCTCCCGCCAGCCCCGCTATGGGGTATTGTTCTACAGGCGACACCTTGTTAACAGTCAGTTTGTAGTCACCACAAATTCTGGCGCTGGAGTCTGGGTAAAATGGGGGCGGCCCTCTCTGAGAATTTCACTGGTGGGATGATCTTCTCCTCCAACAGTCTCTCCAGTTCCTGCTCCACTTTCTTTTTCATAGCAAACGGAACTGATCGGGGCTTATAGAAGCACGGTTTGGCATCACTGGCTACATGTATCTTTGCTGCAAACCCCTTCAGCGTTCCCAACTCATCCTTAAACACTGTTTCATGTCTGGCCAGTATCCGCTGTAAGGCATCATCTCTGCCTTCTATCTTATGTACAGGTTGCCAGTCTAATTGGAGGGCCTTAATCCATCCCCGACCCATCAAACTAGTTCCAGCCCCTTCAACCACCACCACATCCAGTTTTTTTTTTACATTCTCTGAATTCCACCTGCACTTGGGCTGCTCCCCACACGGGTACCTTGTGGCCTCCATACGTTCTCAGTTTGATTCCACACTTGCTTACTTTGGGCGCATTACTGCCTTCAAAAAGTTTTTTAAATGACTCCTTCGACATGATAGTGTAACCACAGCCTGTGTCTACTTCAAATGTCACATTCTGTCCATTTACTTTTAGCTTCTGTCTGATGGGTTCTTCCCTTGGGATGCTAATCTCCTCATGCACATTATACATAGTCACACTTGCCTTTATGTGGTGGATTTCAGCTCCTTCTTCCTCACTCTCCACATTCTCCTCTTCCAAGAAATGGGCTTGTTTACCTTGTCTGCCACGCCCTCCTTTTTGTTGCATTTTCATTCGGCAGACCCTTTTTATGTGTCCCACCTTTCCACAGTTGTGGCATTTTTCTGAAACAAACCTGCAGTCCTTGGCCACATGATTTAGCCCTCCACATCTAGCACTTCCTGACAACCTGTTGTGACGTCGAGCCGCCGTCCTCCATCTTGTTCACCGCTCCTAATCCTTTAGTGAATCGCGACTGTTCCGTCATGCTTTTCAAATCCACAATGTCTCTGTTAGCAGCCTCCATTGCTTGAGCAAACTTCAGCGCCTTTTCAAATGTTAGCGAATCCTCTGCTAACAATCTGCGCTGTATTCTGTCATCGCTTATTCCACATACTAAACGATCCCGCAGCATCACCGTCAGGGAGTCTCCAAAGTTACAGTCCTGTGCGAGCTTCCTCAGCTCCGCTACATAATCGCCCACACTTTCCTCCGGCCTTCTATTTCATGTGTTAAACTTCCACCGCTGCACAATTTCACTCGGCTTAGGGTGAAAATGATTGTTCAACAATCCCACCAACTCAGCATAAGAACGATCCCCTGGCTTGACCGGACTGAGTAGGTTCCTAATCAGGGCATAGGTCTGTGCGCCCACGCAACTCAACAGTACCGCTCGCTTCTTCTCCTCCTCCTTAATATCATTCGCCACAACGAAGTAATCCAAAATCTCACAATATTCCTCCCAGGATTGCAGCTCGCTGTCGAACGGTACCACTTGCCAACCTCAGTTCATAAGTCACTTATCACGGTGTAACTTCACAGCAAAACCTGGCTTTTACCCTCTCCAACAACTGTTGCCCCCTGGTGGACAAATTCCTGCCACAACATAACAGTTTGTCTGTGTAACTCTGTGTCTCTCTGCTCTACACTCTCCGTGACGTTTTCCCGTGTTTGTACGATTTCAGGTTTGTTCTCTAGTTTTACAAAATTTAGGTTCTCACTTAGTTTTGTCCTTACTTCTGTTCATTTTCACTCACTGTAAATAAACTCACTCGCTTCACTGCCATTGTCTGCAACTTTGATCCTCCTTCACAACACCACATGACTGCTGCCCCAGCTGTGACACACAGGCTTAATCTGTGCACTCTGAGTTAAAAGATTAACTAAATATTATCTATAAAATGACACATTAGCAATTAGTTGGAACAAGATAACACATTTATTATGCCAGCCTATTTTCATATTAAAGCTATGTCAGGAAGATTGATCTGTAATTTTAAATAACGTGTGAATAACATTAAATTAGATTTTTGTACAGTTATAACCACATTACTTCAAACATAATTATTTGAATCTCCAGCACTACAAATAAAACAGTGAAACACAGTACTATATTATATGTGTATTATAAATACGTAGAAAATAGAAATGAATACCTCAATACTGCAAATATGAACACAATAACAAATTATTATTTTATGGTAAAAGTAACACAATAATATATTACACTATAACTGTAAGAATAATTTAACACAAGATTTTGAGTAAGATTTTTAGTATTAATGCAATCATTAATGACAACACAAGGCTTAAATCTGTGTTAGTTGTATACACATAATTTCACAATTTCAGATTTTTGAATTACATGAATCAAAACAGTGGTTTTGACACACTAGTTGAGTTTGCTTTGACACAACAACCTTTGGAGGTGTTTAGAAATTTCTTTCATCTTTAGTCCATAAATAATTGGATTGAAGAGAGGATTATATGTTATTATTTGGAGTGTCATTAAAAAACGCGCAGTTTTAGAAAAATCTGATTCCAGTCTAGCTATAATCATGTCATAAGTTATCAAACAGGAATAGTTGATTAAAACAAACAGGTGTGGTAAACAGGTCTGTGCAGCTTTTTTCTTGACTTCTCCAGAGCTCCGATAAACAGTTAAAATTATCTTGGTGTATGTAAAAATTATGAATAGCATTGGAAAAAGTCCGGTATTCAATAAAACAAATGCACCATATACAGAGAGAGCTCTTGACATCACACAGTAAAGCTGGATGAGTGAATTATTACAAAAAATGCCTTTCAAAGTAAAGTTACAGAGTTTGTTATTAATATTTAGTATGATCACAACTGCAACTTGACAAGCAGGCAAAAGCCAAGCTAATACAAGCAGAAAAACGACAGTTATTTTTCTCATTATTGTTGGATATTGCAGAGGTTTACATATAGACACATATCTGTCATAGGCCATGGCTGACAACAATAAGAACTCTGAGCAGCTTAAAGAGTAAAATATAAAAACTTGAAAGAGACAGACTTGATAAGATATGATCTGTTTTTCAGATAAGAAATCAGCCAAAAGCTTTGGATAAATATTAGTGCTGAAAAAAAGGGAATTTAATAACAAAGCTGCAATGAAAATATACATGGGCTCATGCAAGCTTTTATGAATAACAATGAGGTATATGATAGAGGTATTACAGCAAATTATTAGAATATATGCTGTGAACAGTATCATAAAATAGAGATATCTGTATTTCTGCACTTCCACATGTCCACCAAGAATTAGATATGTCATATTTAATCCAGGGTTCATTAAAAAAGTTATTTAAAAAATGTAACTAGGTAAGTATATAGTTTTATATAGTCAAACTGTATGAAAATAAATCTCCCTCAGAAGTTGCAAATAGCGAAAGTTAACAAGAACAGATCTTAATCATTCCTCTTTCCCTTCCTCTGAAATGCACTCGGTATGTATTCATCAGAATTCAGAAAGTGAAGTGTTAAACATTTTTACCATGGTTTTATGAGACTGCATAATCCTCAATGGAGCTTGTTAATAATTCATGACACTCCTAAAAACTCTGGAGGCTTCAAATCACAGGAAGGTTATTAGTATCGCAATGGGCCCAAAACGATATACAGCGGGGATGCAAAAGTTTGTGCAACCTTGTTAATAGTCATTATTTTCCTGTATAAATTGTTGGTTGTTACAATAAAATGTCAGTTAAATATATCATATAAGAGACACACAGTGTTATTTGAGAAGTGAAATGAAGTTTATTGGATTTACAGAAAGTGTGCAATAATTATTTGAACAAAATCAGGCAAGTGCATAAATTTGGGCACAACAAAAAAATAAATGAAATCAATATTTAGTAGATCCTCCTTTTACAGAAATTACAGCCTCTAAATGCTTCCTGTAGGTTCCAATGTATTGTGGTTGAAGGTATTTTGGATCATTCCTCTTTACAAAACATCTCTAGTTCATTCAGGTTTGATGGCCTCCGAGCATGGACAGCTCTCTTTAACTCACACCACAGATTTTCAATAATATTCAGGTCTGGGGACTGAGATGGCCATTCCAGAATGTTGTACTTGTTCCTCTGCATGAATGCCTTAGTGGATTTTGAGCAGTGTTTCGGGTCGTTGTCTTGTTGAAAGATCCAGCCCCGGCGCAGCTTCAGCTTTGTCACTGATTCCTGGACATTGGTCTCCAGAATCTGCTGAGTGGAATCTATATATCCCTCAATTTTGACAAGATTCCCAGTCCCTTCACTTGCCCCACAGCCCCACAGCATGATGGAACCACCACTATATTTTACTGTAGGTAGCAGGTGTTTTTCTTGGAATGCTGTGTTCTTTTTCCTCCATGCATAACGCCTCTTGTAATGCCCAAATAACTCAATTTTAGTTTCATCAGTCCACAGCATCCTATTCCAGAATGAAGCTGGCTTGTCCAAATGTTCTTTAGCAAACCTCAAGCGGCTCTGTTTGTGCTGTGGGCAGAGAAAACTGAGCCTGTGGTCTTCCATTTTTTCAATATGTTCCTAACTGTGGATACAGACAGCTTAAATCTCTGAGACAGCTTCCTTTATCCTTACCCTAAACCATGATGGTGAACAATCTTTGTCTTCAGGTCATTTGAGAGTTGTTTTGAGACCCCCATGTTGCTACTCTTCAGAGAAAATTAAAAGAGGAGGGAAACGTACAATTAACCCCCTTAAATACTCACCAGTGTATGGGGTCAGGTGTCACTGAGCTCACCAAGCCAATTTGAGTTCCAATAATTAGTTCTAAAGGTTTTGAAATCAATAAAATGACAACAGTGGCCAAATTTATGCACCTGCCTGATTTTGTTTAAACAATTATTGCACACTTTCTGTAAATCCAATAAACTTCATTTCACTTCTCATATATCACTGTGTGTTTCTCCTATATGATACAGTATATTTAACTGACGTTTTTATTGTAACAACTGATGATTTATACAGGAAAATAATGACTATTAACAAGGTTGCCCAAACTTAGTGGATGTAGATGTTTTCCCATAACTGTCAAAACATCTACAGAGGAGATGTTTTGATCTTGGGAAGGGGGGTGTTACGGCCCGTGGCCATAAGAAATCTGTGTCAGCTGCTGTGTTGTGTTCCTTTACTGTGTCACACAACTTGATTCTAACATTCCCCCCTACTGCAAATCATCAAACAAAATGTCAGCACATTGATTCTCCCTAGTTCCCAAGAATGGCGTCATGTTGGCTGCCCAAGTATCAGATCCACCAACAGCCTGATTAATCAACCTGACCAATAATGCTGTGGTACAAGGCACACAACAACAACTGCAAGTTACCAGAATAGCTGTAAAAGTAGATAAAAGAAACGATAATAGACACAATAAAACCCTTCCATTGCCCAAAGACAGAGATCATCCACTCCCCCAACAGATTATTGACTCCTGAGAGCTCATATAAGTTCTTCAGGCCTTCCATCGCTCTACACAGATCCATCAGGGGCTGTATTATTAGGAATAAAAGTACAGCACATATCATCCAACTTCGCACCCACCCCCACCCCCTTTTCTGCCAACAACATGTCTAATGCCATTCGATTCTGCACAGCCATAAGAGAAATGTGTCCTAATTGCTCCGCAAATCCTCCTACAGTGTCACGGATTAAATTTGTCAATCTAAGCATATTGTAGTGGACATAATGAATACGGTCCACATTCTTATTTGGAGTAATTGGGATAAGCCCTGCAATCAAATGCAAATTCTCAAATCCAATTGGGTCAGCCAGCTTCTAGTCGTCTGGCACTCCTCTAGGCACGCCAATACAGTTTAAATACGTTGGTGACCCCACAGAAAGGTCAAACAAGCTTGTCGAACGCTTCCTCAAAACATGACGTCTCGACATAGGTTGGGCAGTGCCGGGTTTACCCAGTCACACCCCCATTTCACCCACTAGAATTAATGGAGCCCCCAACTGCATTAGTGCACACAGGCCGGAGGTTCCCCTTGGAATTCTCACAAACAAGCGATATCCTCCACAGTAATAATACAAACCAGATCATGCACATGGACCAATATATGTGTCCTGATCCCGTGAGGCGGTCCCCCTGACTGGATAAACCTCCACACACCAATCAACTGGAATTTCAACGGCATCGAGCTTATAGCTGGAAGGTTCAGAAACAGTAAAGTTAAAACAGGTATAATTTGCTTTTCTCGGTGTGAATGGCCCTATTACAGTTTTATTATCAATTGGGGGAAACAGACTGGCTAATGTGGTGCAGATGCCCTTCGAAACCGCCTCCATAATTAATCTGAGCATACACTTAAATCCCCAACGGTCCTCCAGATAATGGGGTGCCGGTTCAGTAAACAAATGTGGTCTGGCCACCGCACAGGCCACACAATCAGACACATCTAACCACAAATTACTATCCCTATAGCCAGTAGCCATAGAGATCAGCTGTCTAAGTTTCATTTTGGTGTAATCCCTGTAAAATTCTCTACTAATTTTCTTACTTGGGTTGAGGACAAATTTTGTGGTGAACTTCTAAAATTCACCTTGACCACCCCATATGGACAATCCCCGATAACATCTACTCCTAACTAAAGTAAACCAGCCTATTGGCGATCCCCGTGGGTGGCGGAGCCATCCAGTTCCCCAACGACAAAGTCACTAAATTCTGAGGGGTCCTAAAATCTCGCTGTATATAAAACCTGTCCCCCCAGCTCCCTTGATTTTGGTGTACCCACAACCTGCGACCGGGCACATCTCCCGCTCAACCGTGTCCACCCCTGTTGACAGAAATGATTGAATGAGATTTAATAAGACCCAAATATCATGTGTCCTGTAACTTCGGCCACCATAATGTATGGCTGCACAGAGATCGAACATGGACGAAGTCATAGACCCTGCCACGTAGTCCAACTCGGCCACCGTAATAATTTAAACAGGTGTCGGTTTTATCTGATGTGCTGCGATTGGTTCGTCTCACCATGGACTGGCGTAATCTGAAGTCTGTCTCCGGGCAACTCACATGCAAGAAAAATCACAGTTACAGTAACGACAATAATGACCCCTAAAACTCCCACTACTCTCCAATTTCCCCGCAACCCAATTTTGATCACTTCTCCAATCCCTTACATTGTACTTAGACTAGAACCTCTGTCTAAGGAGATTCATTATCTTAGAAATGACCTTTATCTTCTGGGTCGGGTGATTCTCTGCTCGTCTTCTTTCTTCAACTTCAGGAGTTGACCACCCTTCAGTTCGTTGAATAGATCAGGGGATTATTTTGCCCCGGGTGAGGATATATGTTTTTGGGGGTCTCAGCCGAGTCCCCCCCAGCAGAGTCTCCTCCATCTGTCTCTCCACAGTTACCGGCGCCTGAGCTTCCAGCTCCTTCTCTACCCACTCCTGCCTAACCCCCGGAGCGATCCTTACCGGCACCAGAGCCCTTCTCGGGTGAGTTACACAACTTGCGGGATTTCTGACCTAGGTGACAATTCCAATTTAGACAGTTGCGGAGGACATATGAAACTTATGGGGCTAAAATTGCTTTCGTGTTTACATGGACAGGCATTAAACTGGGCTCAAGCTGTTCTTAGAACCGATGCCGAAATTTAAAAGTGTGTTTGAAAGAGGTGAGCCCATACAGCTGCTCACCATTTATTGAATCTCAATACTCCGTCGAGTTTTGGACTCGGATGGGCGCACCTGGCATTGATAAGTACTTTATTGAACAATGTTTGTGATTAACTGGTGATAAGAGATTTACCTGAAACCCTGTCTTACATGATTACATTATGTGTGAAGGTGGACGAGCATGCCGCAGAAGCCTCTTGGGTGCGTGGAAGTGACGTCGGGTAGAGGCGCAACTGTTGGCGAAAGTTATCTGGAGTCGAGCAGTGTGGAGGAGGGTTAGCACTAAAAAACACTAATATTCAGTCTCGCTGAAATTCAGTCGCCATCTAGTAGGATGCTCGTCCTCCTGCAATGCAGCCGTCACCCAGCCGCCCCACGAATCATCATCCCACTCTTTATCATTTGTTTTCATTTTCCACTCCACCGGTGAGGTAGACCCCTTATGATTTTTTCCCTGACTCCCTTGCTCCAGATCTCCCTCTAATTTCTTTGCCGGTTTCTTAGGGGCCGGGATTGATTGATTGATTGATCGATCATTCTTTATTCATCCCGAGGGAAATTGGGTTAAGCCTGCCAGCCATGCCAGCACCATCTTACCCATCCGACCATACATACATTACACAAACATCACATGGGGAAGACAGGCCAGAGAGGTATAACA